TTTTTTTGGTTGCAGCCATCATTGTTGTTTGGCGGCCCGGGCTGGATTTGAACCCGCCACCTTAGGTGTATGTGGCTGGCGCCTTAGCCACTTGAGCCACAGGCACCGAGCCTCCACCTTGTATTGTAAGGATAACAGAATGAGCAAAGTAAAGCAAAGCCATCTAGGTTATACAATAAACCTTCAAAATATAATATTTTTTTAGTCATCTAGACACTTAAGGAAGGGTATCCATTAAGACACTGAAATGGCTACATGATTCCAAGATCTTCTGATGAGCATTTCTTCCACAAAAGCAGAAATGGTGCTTCTCTGGGAAACATCTCTGAAAACCTAAACTTAAAAACTGTGTCAGATGGGTGCCTTCCTGCAGGGAACATAAACAAAACACGATATGGCAATAAAACAGTACTCACCGTTTTGCCTTGGAGGCTCTGGGGACTTACAGACTGTAAAGTCAGGCCAGCTGGCATCGACCTTCTCTCAGGCACGTAGACATGCTAGGAAGGTAAAGGCACAATCAGACTCTGTGGCAAAGTGTTTGCTGCTTCCTGTCAATGTCAGTGTTGACACATCTTAAATTCCCATTATGAAACAGCATTTAAAAATTGCTATTTGTGCTTGTGAAAGAGCATGCATTAAAATTTCTTATAAGATTAAAATATAAATGCTGGTAAACAGAATAATTCTCCACAGTCCGGTTCAGTGTTTCTCAAAATCTTTGGTCTCCTCACCCCTTTACATCCTTAGTGACAAGCACTGTGACAGTTTTACAAATAAATCTTTAAAGGCTGGCTGGATTCTCACGTCTGCTTCTGTATTCAACATCTTTTAGTGGAAGGATACAAAGAAGATCCACCGTCGGTGTACATAATTGGAAAGCAAAAACTTTTCTTGCTAATTACAGATACTCATTTTTGATACTACGCAAAAGTTGAAAAAGGCAGTACTTTCTTGAAGTTTAGTTGCAAAGTGACATCTGAAACCATATCAGTGAGCTTTCTGTTACAGTAATACCCATTGATCTGCCTGCAGTTTAAGCAAATCCTCCCTATGCACAATTTTGTACATTGAACATTGGTCATTTGGAAATACTGGTTCAGTGAGCTGTGCAATGTTCCAAGTGTTAACACATTTCAGTATATAATATTAAAAAAAAAATCACATTTATTAATACCACTACCAATCTTTAAGCATCGGAAAGTTGTCAAACCCTAAGTGGCAGGTATGTGATTTCTAAAATTCTAAATTTTGCTTGAAAAGTCAGATGTTGTCATCAGCAACAAATACTGTCAGTTGTTTTCCTTGAAGTGACAGGCTAGCATTTCGCTTTAGGAAAGTGTGTCTGTCAAATATCACATCTGAATCATGATAGCTATCTTTGTTCCTTCAAGTAAAAATAGCATTCCTTGAAAAAAGGAGCTAGTTCAGCTTGCAACTTAAATAATTACATGTTTTTCTGTGAGACAACCAGAAGGTCTTTGGTATGCTACAGAAATGCCTTATCCATGTTCCATTTTATCACATGTAATATTAAAATGATTTATAATAAAAGTTTAAGAACTGGCTCAGTGCCTGTAGCTCAAGTGGCTAAGGCGCCAGCTACATACACCAGAGCTGGCAGGTTTGAATCTAGCCCGGGCCGGCCAAACAACAAGGACAACTACAACCAAAAAACAGCCGGGCATTTTGGCAGCCACCTATAGTCCCAGGTACTTTGGAGGCTGAGGCAAGAGAATCGCTTAAGCCCAGGAGTTGGAGGTTGCTGTGAGCTGTGATGCCATAGCACTCTACCCAGGGCGACAGCTTGAGGCTCTGTCCCCCCCCCCCCAAAAAAAAAAGTTAAAAATCAATAAAATGTTTACTGTTTCAACAAGAGGATTCATTACTGAAGGTGTTACAGATTCCTATTTTTACTCCAAGTGTGTGGCAGTGAGGCATTCAACAACCACCAGTCTGTTTGGAGCCACTACCTTGGTTCATGCTAAGGTGTCAGCAGTTTGACCCACCACCCTACCATTGCTTTTGCAGTATCAGTGCAAATGGGAATACAACAAACAATGCCTTATTATCATAAAAATAATTTTGAGCTTATGGACCTCTTGGAAGGGTCATAGGGACTCCTCCTAGGGGTTCATGAATTACCCTTTGAAAACTACTGATTAGATCAAGAAGATGGCAGGATAGTTTAAAAGAAAAACTTGGCAATGTTGGAGAAATTTTTTGGAAGAAATAGCATAGTAGAAATTCACTTGGCTAGGAACTGGATAGAGAACATAAATTCATCTCATATTTGCTGTTAAAACAGATGCTCTATTCTGGCCAAGAATACGAAAAACATTAATAACTATGGGTATGTAATTTAGACCCACTTTAAAACCACATGTTTAAGGTCATACAAGTCTTAGATCAGATTTTTCTTGGATATTGTTACTACTTTTGTCAACTGTGATTTAACCTTTGGATGTACAAAGTGACAAATAATGAACTTTGTTACAACGGAGGTCAAAGGCAGTCTTTTTTTAGTGAGGCAAACTGCAGCTTTCTTAAAAAGAAAATTCCTGATTGATGTATTAACTTCCAACAAACACTTTATGGAAATAGCAAGCAAATGCTTTACACGATAATGCAGCTGAAGGGTTTAGCCTATCATAAGAATAAGAAGAAAAAGTACATTTTAAAATAATATAAAGCAAGAAATCTTTTAGTATTAAAAAGAAAATCACATTAGGATATATATTAGGGAACTGGCTGTGTCCTGGCTGAACAAAACAATTGCTTTGGCATTTTCGCTGTAGCCGATCAATACAAAGCACTCTGAATTCACTACAAATAACCTACCAAGCAATGCTTAAACCAAGTTATAGTACAAGTTAAAACGTGATCTCTGTTTCTTAATTTTTCTACATAAATATGACATCATTAATCACTGTCAGACTTTAATATTAAACTGAATATCCAAGAAGGTATTGTGGATGGGTCGCACATTCAGCTGGTTAACAGCTGTATACCGGTGAAGAACAAGATAAGCTTGATACAAACTGCAGGTATGCCAGGAGAGGGCAGGTGCAGAATTGGCAAGTGCGTAAAAAGCCAATGGAAAGGCATGTGCTCTTAACCTACATGGAGAACTGATGAGAATGAGACTGGCTATCAAGCGGAGACGGATGCATGATGCACCTGCTCAAACGAACTGTTTCTGTGCTTCTGAGAGAGGAAGCCTGGCAAGCTCAGGTCCGTTTTTTCTTAAATGCAAGGGATTTCAACGCTGTAGAATGTTTTTCTTTATTTTTTAAAACCCAAAAGCACTGCCCTGCTTACCTTCTCCCTATTCTCTGATCTCTCACATTTAGAAGAACAGCATATTAAAAAGAAAACACAGCAGTTAGTAAGGTAACACAAAATGAGGAGCCCCGGTACCTTAGGGTGATGGGCCCTGTGCCTGCGGTCTATGGTAACATCTCCTCTCTGGATTGGCGAGGACACTTCTGATCGATACGTACGTTGAGGAGAATATCCTTGATAAGCAGCTATGGACCCATGGGAAGGTGATGTGGGAATAGAGTGCATTGTCTGGTCAGAAATATTGACCATGGTTTTAGGGCTGCTCAGACTGCTGTGTCGAGGAAGGGTGCTCTGCTTATTGTAGAACTGTCGCTGCTGCCATTCGTAGAGCTGCCACATCGTGTCATCCCTCATCGACCTCCGCTTCTCTTCTGCTCCGGGGCCCACGATCTTCTCATGAGCGGAAGGGGTTATGCTGCAGATGCTTTCAGGCCTGGTCTTGCTGTTTCGTGGGAGAGTTCTATAACCTTCGGGGTAGCGGGCCACAATCTGTGCTCTGTGGCTCGGCATATTTCTTGGTAGTGTTTGGTAAGAAATTATTCTAAAACAAAAAGAGAATAATTGAAATGTAAAAATGAAGGAGAAGAATTGTTTGCCAAATTCTAAATTAGAGTACACCTTGCCTTGAAGTAAAATACATGTCACGCTGTATTTTTAAAAGATCACACTATTATATAAGACACAAATTATTAACAAATTTTAATCTGGCTGGGCACTGTAGCTCATGCCTGTAATCCTAGCACTTTGGGAGGCCAAGGCAGGTGGACTGCTTGAGCTCCAGAGTTCAGACCAGCAGGAGCAAGAGGGAAACCCCATCTCTAAAAATAACTGGGTATAGTGGCAGGTGCCTATAGTCCCAGCTGTTTGGGAAAGCTAGAAAACTAAGAATTGAGAGTGGAAAAAAAGAAAAGTGAGGTGCACAACACATCACCAGGAGGATATTTTTGTAGTCTGGGGGAAGAGATACCAAAAGATGAAGCCAAGTGTACCTGGGCTTGTGAGCTACACTTCCGAAAGAAGACTTACGGTGGCTGACATCTGCAGTTGTCAACTTAGCAAAACTGAAGGCACTTTCCTGTACCCCAGACTTACCTCAGTAGTTTTCTACGACTGAGAAGAGTTACGGTACTTCTGTAACATTTTCTTTTTAAATTTTAGAGACAGGGTCTAGCTGTGCTATTGAGACTAAGGTACACCCCTCACTGCAGCCTCAAACTCTTGGGCTCAAGCAATCCTCCTGTGTCAGCAATCTGTGTAGCTGGGACTATAGATGTATGCCACCATACCCGGCTAATTAAAAAAAAGAGACATGGTCTCATTATGTTACCTAAGTCAGTCTTGAACTCCTGGCCTTAAGCAATCCTCCTGCCTTAGCCTCCCACGTACTCAGGAGTACAGGCTTGAACCACTGCACTCAGTCTAACTGGACGGCTTTTGGATTCCTCTCTCTGCTCGTTATCAGTGCTGCAGCTCTGCATATCTAAGCCATGATGTGCATGTCATTCTTACATCTTAGCTTGCATTTCATTTTTTCCAGAAGGTTTCCCTGAACTCTGAACCCTTTTGGTTGTGCTGGTTATCTTAAAATATGTTCTTATAGCACCCCGTTCCTCCTCCATTGTACTTGTCACGCTATGCTATACTTGCTTAACTGTCTCGTGTACCAGACAATCATCTTTGTGTGAAGCTGGACTGTAGTTTTTCATTATTTTACTTTCTGGCTCTACTATTAATATGTAGTAGTTATATAATAAATGATATGAAGAACAAGTGCACACATGGATGAATAAATGCTAAGAAGGATAAATTTAATACTTAGTCATGTGTATTCTGATTTAAAGAAACCCAGGAATGAGGCTGAGAACTGGAAAGCAAGAGGCCTTCACTGCCTCCACATTACTCGTTTCAAGAAATCCTCGTAATGCACCAAGCTACAGTTAGACTAGGGCAATGGAGAGGCTGGAGACAAGTTCTCACTGGTTAATCACGGCTCTGAACTTTAGCAGGTGATAGCAGTGGAGAAACAAGACAGGGGTGAAGTGAGAAGAACGGGCTTGCTTCCTCTCTTATCTAAAACAAACTTGATAAGGAGGAGCTGGGTCAGGAAGGACTTCTTGCCATTAGCATAGATGGGTGACAGAACAATGAGAGACAGAAAAAATACTTGCATCTGATCACTATCAACAAAAGACATAGTAAGGAAGCTGTAATGCTACATATCTAAAATACGATTTATTTTATTTTTTTGAGAGAGATTCACTTTGTTGTCCTCAGTAGAGTACTGTCATATCACAGCTCACAGAAACCTCAAAATCTTGAGCTCAAGTGATTCTCTTGCCTCCCCCTCCCAAGTAGCTGGGACTACAGGTGCCTACCACAACATTCAGCTATTTTTTTTAGATATGGGGTCTCCCTCTGGCTCAGGCTGGTCTTGAACTCATGACTTCAGGAAATCCACCTGCTTTGGCCTCCCAGAGTGTTAGGATTACTGGTGTGAGTCACCCACCCATCGTAAAATACAATTTAAACCAGTACTTTTAATCGGAGGCTCAGAAACAATGTCTACAAACACAGCATCACAGAAACCTAGGTTTGTGATAACAAGCCACTTACCCCCTGGTTTCTTCTTCATGACCTCTCCCCTTCTGGATTTTAATCCACTGTTCCAACTGCTGCATTGAATTCGTTCTCTGTATGACTCGATCAGTCTCTGTGTGTAAGGGCACTGTACTTGGGTGATTTCCACCTCTAAAATCTGCAAGGCTAACATTGACTGTTTTGTTCTCTAAACTATTCACATTGATTGGTCTGTAGTGTGCAGTCTGAGCTGGGCATGCTGACCCACTATCATGTTCCGATGGCAGAGAATTCAACTTCACACTATTAATTTTTGTTAAAGGTCTATCTTGACCATCCTTCTGAAATCCGTATTTTTCAGCTTCTAAGGCCTTTTTTTCTTCAATTTTGCTTATTTCCTTATTTTTCTGATTGTTTTGGATCTCTGGTTTAATCAGCACTCTATGGTTGGGAATGTTATTGGTTTCTTTACTTGGTGCGTTTTCAGATGTAATCTTGTCTACTCTGAAATCAGAGAAGAAAATCATAATAAGTAAGATGAAAAAAGCACAAATTATTTCTGGGATTCAATCTAGGAAAAATTTGACTTAGATCAGGGGTGGGGTGAGAGACTGGAAAGCATCACAGAGGACAATTTGTACAAATCCCCAACGCTGTGGTTTTAACAGTCAAGCTCAATAGCAGAATGTGCCCCAGAAAGGGGAAAGAAAACAAAAAGTGTATAAAGTACTGTACTGGAGGATAAGAAGTGACCCGTGGCTCACCATAAGAAATTTAGAAATAAAGCAAGGAAGACTGTGACAGTTAAACCACAAAATCCATACTTAAAGGATGGTCGCGGCTAGTACCTCAACCCAGCTGCCAGCCAGGAGGGGTAGCTAGCTCATCATGAGACAAACACAAGTTTGTTATAGAAATGGCTGTAGCGGGAAACTATAGTCTGATGCCATCAAAGATCTGAACCCTATGACTGACTCTGTATTTAGGACCTGAGTATGGTTTTAGACCCAGACTCTTGCAGCCAGACTGCATGCATTCAGTTTTCAATTCTCCTCTTAGTAGCTGCGTCTTTGGGCAAGGACAGAAAACGTACAGCTCCTCAATTTCCTCTCTGGTAAATGGGTATAGCTGCAGCAAGGCCGGAGGGTTGCTGTGAGAACCAGAGATGAGCTAATCAACGCTGGCACAGACTTTATTTATTACTCATCTCATCAAGCAATTCTGGATTGGACTCTGTCACTCCTTACTGCTCTGTCCACTGGAAGAACGGCTCAATTGTAAGTGGCTGGGGGAACGCTTTTACTGCTCATGGTTCCAGGTGCTATGTTTAGGTATTCCTGATGAGAATCAGCCTCCCTAAGCCCAAGCATTTCCAGCCTCTGACAAGGTCGAGTAGACTGCCTGAACCCGCATGATGCTGCTCAGATCATGCCATTCTGGGAGGCCTCCCAGGAACTGGCCAACCTTCCACATCTCAGTACGTAATTATTCTTCCATCCTGACTGTGGCATTGCTGCCAATTTTTATCATGTGTGAAAAATACATCTATAGGTGCATACAAATCTATATTCAACTATAAATGAAGATAGATAGATACAGATTTTACATAAGTTGGAATAGGGTCATTGAGGAAAAAAATGTGATGGAGTAAAGTTATGAACTATCCATATACAGAACATCCACAGGTGAACACCTCCCTGCACTGAGCACCTCCTTAAGCTGACCTAGACCAGATATACACCAAATACATACTCAATGGGAGTTCCTGATGTTGACCTTGGGTGGTCAACTCACAGAGGCTCTATTGCATTTAGACTAGATATAAACCACAGCTTCCAGATTGGATTCAGTGTTAGACACTGGGAAAGTTGGGAACTTAACGGTGAATATTAAATGCCTGAAAAGATATAAAAAATTATTTACCTCTGGTCTATCTAAACTATTATTTTAAATTAGAACTGTGGTGGCGTTTTCCCCATTCTTCCCAAAGATTTCATCATTTAAGAAATAATCAAAAAGATAATCTATGATGACTTTTGTCTAAATAGAACAAAAAAAGTTGAGTCAGGAAGGTATGCTAAGATAAGTAATATAAAACCTGTGATCTAACTTTAAAAAGTGACATTTAAATTATTGTAGAAAATACACTGGGATACATAAAATGAAAATAATGGGCCTAGAGACAGAAAACATTCATCAAATGTGTATTAGATGTAAACATTTTTTGTTACCAATGATCATCATACTAAGGTACTATGACACTGTAGTTTAGGGGAAGTAGTTGGTAAATCTGGATAAAATTAACTAGTTAAAAACTGGATGTTTTACCACTTAGGTGCTACACTTTGATAAATATAAAACAATCTCTATATACTTATGAAATAAAATACTGTAAAAATGAGATGCTTTCACTTAGAATGACTAAATAGGGTGGGGTGAAAATGGCAACAGGTAGGCAGGGTGCAGTAGCTCACGCCCTTAATCTCAGAACTTTGTTAAGTCTGAGGTGGAAGATCACTTGAGGACTGGAGTTCAAGGCCATCCCCAGCAAAATTAGCCTAATTAGCCTCCACAGTCCCAGTGCTCAGGAGGCTGAGGCAGGAGGATTGCTTGAGCCCAGGAACTGGAGGTTGGGGTGAGCTATGATAATGCCACTGCACCCTAGCCCGGGCAACAGAGTAATTATTATTGTTAATTAATTAAGTAAAAATCCCAACAGGTGGGAGTAGAAGAAAACATATAATTTCTATAGGATAACAGCGACTGATTCCAGGTTGGCAATGTTCCCGAATTCTTGCCTAACTCAGCAAAATATACCAAACACAAGTGGCTGGAAACTGTATGGGCACATAACCAGTGAACTGTTAGGTTCCTTGTAGACTGTCATCGTGATTACCAACTGAGTCTCTTCACCTACACATTTCCAGGTATCAGGCATAACCACTTCATCTTTATGGTTATTCATGTAATTTGTACACGTGGAACCCCATAAGCAATTTTCCTTACATTGACTCCTGACCTAGAAGATGCGTGAGATTGAGGTGTTTGTTCTTAAAAGTAGGTGTTCAGGAATGCCAGCCTGCACACTCTTTTCTTTCCATGTTTTTGTACAGTTCTAATTACTTACTAGCTAATTTAGGTTCAATATTAACAAAAATAGCTCAAATATACAGCATTAACTTAAGTCTTTCACCCAAATAAACTTTATTAAAATGCACACTAAAAAGAGAAAAAAAAAAACAGCTAACGATTTACACTGTAACAATCTCTAATTTCCTGAAAAGGGGGAGGGAAAGACCAAATTTGCACATTATCATCTTTCTTACATATGTGCCCAAACGTCAATGACGGGCAACAAAACTTCGTGGCATCATACATCTTTCTTCAATTACGGGAATATAATTTTTTTTAAAAAGGCACATTATTCAACCACTATTGGTAAAATTTAAGGAAGATTTTCTCTAATTCTTGACATAAAAACATAATTAACTTCATAAAATACATTCTCTTCTGAGATTTAGGGTCTTAAAAAACATTATCTCGAAGGAGAAAAATCTACGTAGCTTTAAGATAACAATGAAAAAACGTACTTACCGGAAATTAAAGGTAATTCTGTAAGAAGAAAGAACATTCAGTTTGAATGTTAGGATTCTGGAGTCACCCCAGCACACTGACAGGTGAAAATGGGTGGAAGGACAATGTGGGTGGTGTCTCGAACTTTTGTTGAAAAGGTGTACTAATACAGAACACGAATTACTCCTTGTTTGCCAAGGAAAAATGGTATTATATCATGACTATGAAGATGATATGCACTATGATAATGACATAATTGCAAGGCATGGAATACAATGGAAGTGGAAATCACCATTCTTCTTCCTACAAGCATTTACCTTTTCACAGGTTCTGTCTGTACCAAGGCAGCATCTAACATGGCTTTCATCCACAACTCCATTTCCTTTCCTGTATCAGTGCAGAAATAATAGGTCCGCATGTTTGGGTGGGCTGCCTGATTGAAAACGACATAATCATTTTAAATAAAAACATGGGACCTGTAAAAGAAAAAGAAAGAAAGATAAGCGGTTCCTTACATAGATCGCTGCTATCAAATTTCAAAAAAAGCAGATTTTTCTTCCACGTGAAATACAGAAATGACTCAAAAATGTAGCCATTAATATTGAAAAAGATCTAATACTAAGTATTTTCTCCTAATTGAACCCCTTTTTAGTTGTGTGTACTCTTAAATTTTTTATGGGAACACTGACACTAGATTGCTTATCACAGCTCAATTTACAGTGGCCAAAATGTGGAAACAACCTAAATGCCCACCAACCCAGGAATGGATGAACAAGCTGTGGTATATGTGCACCACGGAATACTACTCAGCCATTAAAAAAGATGGAGACTTGACATCTTCTGTATTAACCTGGATAGAGTTGAAACGCTTTCTTTTTAGTAAAGTATCACAAAATGGAGAAGCAAGAATCCAATGTACTCAATACTAATTTGAAGCCAGTAGATGAACTAATACAAGCTCACATAAGAGAAAAACTCAAAATCAATTCAAAGTAGGGGGCAGGGAAGGAGGGAGCAGGAAGATGGGAGGAGGGAGGGGGTTAGGTGTGCCCCCATTTAACAGGTACAGTGTTAAGAGTATATAGCAAACCTCCTGGGGGTGGGGCACAATTACAAGAGGGAGTCTAACAAATGCACAAATGCAAGCAATGCAACCTAATTCCTGTACCCTCAAGTTGAACTGAAACAATAAAAAAAAGTGTATGGAAAGAAAAGAAGATGCCTGTCCCATCTACACATCTCTCACAATTTTCACTTCCTGCAATTCACACCTCTTTGTAAAGAATAATATTCCACAGCAACTAGCAACAAAATTAACTGAAATGTATTAATGCAGCAGTTCTCAACCTGTGGGTTGCAATCCCATGTTAACAATGAAAATATACTGCAGCATTAGGAAGGTTTAGAACCACTGTATTAATACATATTATAGCACTTCCCTTTAATGTCAGCAATTTCTTTAGTCCTCAAAAGGTGTTGCTGTTATTTTCCAGAATGCTTATAGACATCTACAAGGAATCACAAAAGAGTTTTAAATCTTTTTTTGTTGTTGTAGTTGAGACAGAGTCTCACTATGTCACCCTCAGTAGGTGCTGTGGAGTCACAGCTCATAGCAACCTCAAACTCTTAGGCTTAAGTGATTCTCTTCCCTCAGCCTGCCAAGTAGCTGGGACTACAGGTGCCTGCCATAACTCCTGGCTGAGAGCTTTAAATCTTTTAAACTTGTAGTTTTTAAAGTTTCACAGTTAAAAATACAAATATTTTGGAGTTCAAGAGGAAGCAGTATATAGCCAGCAAGGAGGTTTTTTTCCCTGATGGTGCTTTAATCTGTCTCTGTACCAGAGTAACAGAGGAAAACAAAATAGAATGATGCTGAAGAGAGACGCCCACTACACATGCTGTGAGCACTGAACGCTCACCTGGACCCTTAGTCTGACAAGGCATAGATGGGCAGCAGTAACAGCTGTACCAAAGCAGAAGGAAAAAAGGGTCAAGGTGGGGAAGTCTAAGGGGAAAACAATCTTAATTTCCATTATAATACACCTGTAACAGTTTCCTATTAGACCTTCAAAGATAAGGGGAAATAAAAGACTACTTCAACCTAGAAGGAGGTAAAAGGGAAGTGGGGAGGAGTAAGTATGAATGTTTAATGGGAGCAAACATATAGTTAGATAGATAGAATGGACAAGTATAGTCACTTTGATAGCACAACAAACTGACTATCATCAAGTTAGGGCACACTTAAAAATAACTAATTAAAGTATGAATTGGTATGTTCCTAACACAAAGAAATGATAAACGCTTGAGGCGATGGACACCCGATTTGATTACTTCACATTGCACGCCTATATTAAAATACCACATGCAACCTATAAACATATGCAACTATTATGTACCTATAATAATTAAAGATTATAAGAAAAGAATGAGGTAAAGGATAGAGAGTACTAAGTATACAGTTACCCTGCTAAATAAAAAGAGATGAGTGAAATAAATCTGGAATCACACACTTTATTCTCAGATCTTGACAATCTGCTTTATCTAAGATGTCGAATTAATTTCTTCAAAAATTTATTTTTAGGATACAAATAATTTCAATCAGCGCACTCATCAAAATAATTATATAACCAAGAAATCTCATTTGACTATGTAAGAGAGATTAAAATTATCTACGGAAATAAAACCATGACAGTATCACAGAACTCTGTAAGTGGGATTTTAGAAAAATGAATGAAACCACTGCCCATGTTTGTGATCAATATAAGGAACACTGGGCTAGTGGTACGCTGGTAAGATCCAGTTCAAGCCAAGACTCAGACACCAACAAACCCACTCACTCTTGCGATCTTCCACTGGCAATATTTACTGGATGATATCTAAGTACCTAAGCTAGCTTTCAGTTCCACACTTGAGTTCAGTAACTATCTGGTAAGTTTCTACTTACCATTTTGGTAAGCCATGGCATCAATGTCAACAGCCTTAGGAAAGAAGTAGCTCGTAAATTCAGAGGAAACACCACCAAGAAGAGAGAATTTGAAACAGCAATTACTATTCTTGTTACAGACGAAATGAAATTAAAATCAAACCAAATAGAGAAAATGTATTTTTATTGCTGTTTAAATACTGTAGTATTTTTTTAAGAGTGTTAAGCACCCAGCAAAATAGTACCAACAGTACAAATCCAAGAAGTTGCTAACTTGATAAGTAAAGAAAAAAATTTAAACCACTGCCAAACAATAGTGTCAATATCACACAGGCCTACATGTATCCTTTATAAAGTTATTATTTTAAGTTTTCAGTATTAACTTTTGCTATAACATCTCAAAACATTTACTTCCATTTCTTTGGTTTACCCTGTTGATAATGTCTGTTTTGCTAAAATTCATGTAAATATGAAGCTACTCCCTTTTATCCAGTTTTTTGTTTAAACTACCTTCTCATTGAAACCATCTGTTACCCAACCCCATTAATCCACTTGAGCTATGCCTTTCCACTCTTTTCTCCACAGCTAACACATTAATTAGCAAAAGTTGTAAATCAGCTACAGTCCTAGTGAGTAGTGTTTAAAAGTGGATGGAAATTTGAAATTAAACCGATTCTGTAATGGGATAGACATTTTCATTTTTAAATAGCAGTGTATGTAATCCTGATTTCCCTTCTTCTCCTTAAACCCTTTAGAGCTCTTTATCCTTCTTTTTTTGGGGGGGTGGGGTTGAGTTGCCCTCAGTAGAGTGCTGTGGCATCATAGCTCACAGGAACCTCAAACACTTGGGCTTAAGTGATTCTCTTGCCTTAGCCTCCCAAGTAGCTGGGAGGTGATGATCACAACGCCTGGCTATTTTTTAGAGACAGGGGCCTCCTTCTGGCTCAGGCTGGTCTTGAACTCATGAGCTCAGGCAATACACCTGCCTCAGCCTCCCAAGTGCTGGGATTATAGGCGTGAGCCACTTCGCCCAGCCCCTATAGCTCTTAATTCAAAACTGAGTTAAAAACCAGGTGGCCTCTACAATTTATTTTAGTCATAATCACAAAGCAAAAATGCAGAATGGTTTTGAAAACAATATCACAGTATTACACACGGGCAGAGATTAGTCAGGGGAGGGGATCTTAAGTCTGCTTGGATTTAACACATTGACTACTACACTAGAAAAAATGTTTTTCCCTTGGGGCCATGGTGTTGTATTAAGTCAAGCACATTAACAGCCTTGCGAGTTGTATTTAACACATGCTAGTTTTGAGCCTATGGTCTTGTGAAGCATACACAATTCACATGTCTCTTGACCTAATAAAACACGGTGGCTCCAAGGAAATAATTTTTTTCCCTAGTGTGGCAGTCAGTGAGCAAGAGATGAGCTTCATGAGGCCCTGGGCTCAAACCTAGTGTAAGTTAAATAAAACTCCAATAGCAGTTAAAACGTTAATAAGAGCAGATTTAAATCTCAACTTGAATATTCTCTGTAAAGTATCTGATGATCACAACATAGTTAGACCTAAGAATATCTTAGCAATTATTCTCTAAGTTCATAAACATATCGTATTGCAAAACTCAAGCTGTCTCATATCGTACTCTCCCCTTAAATTTATCACAGAAGAATTCAAACATATGACAACCTTGAGAGAACAGTACAGAGATGACCAGAATACCCCTAGTTATATTCATCAATCATTACCATTGTGACACATTTGCTTTACCTAGAACCATCTGAAAACAGAACGGATACAGCTGACCCCTAAATACTTCGGCAATGCTTCCTAATTAAAGAGAAATTCTCCTACGAAACTGAAAAACCATGAATACATTTTAAATATAAAAACTGTAAGTTCTATAATAGGTCTATAAATCAATATCCATTTTAATCAACGTAAGTTTTAGACACAGAATTAAAAGGAATGATTACCTCCTTACCTTAAAAGCATATTTGCGATTAATGTGATCCTCAGAGGTAAGCATGGCTATCTGAAAACTTGGTAAGAGTATGCTTCCCAGAATACCCTCTTCTTTCTCATCTAAGACATAATTTAACATGTGATTAGAATTTTAAATGTTCTGATGAAGCAGAATAATTTTTCTCAAGATTTACTGTGGCCAAATCAAAAGGGTTGTTGCATAATACAGAAATGAACATGTTGACGTTTAAACAGGTCTTTATAAGGCTTTAAATGAAAATATCAAATAGTAGAAGGATTTACATCTCTTTATTTTCAATGAGCTTTCCCATCCTAAGTGAACAGAAAATTGATCCCACACATCTAAAAATAGTCACACATAAAAACAGCGTACATTTGTCTGGTACATTTATGACATTTTACAAAACCCTTTTAAATGTGATTCACTGAAAATATATTAACATTTAAGTAATGGCACAGCAACTTTAAAGAATTAATCTGCACACATTTCTGGTAGGATTTAAATGCCCGACCATTCTAACTTCAGATAAATACGCAGCTCACTTGCTTAACATCCTTCAGTCTTTGTTCAAAGACTCATCAACAAAATCTTTTCCTTGACTACTGTTTTTTAAAACTATTTAACATTCTCGCTATTCTCCTTTGGGAATGTTACCATTTCCTAAACTCGATTCCTTTGCCAAACAGTATTGTTTTAGTTATTATTCTTTGCTTTTTATTTTTCTTTCCATTATGCTCCCTACCCTGGTCCCAAAATCCTGGCCTCAAGAGAGCTTCCTGTCTGGACCCCCAGAAGTGCTGGGAGACTACAGGTGTGAGCCACTGTGCCCAGCCTGTGAAGATAATTAGAATGAAAGTAGATGCTAAAAAAAAAATTGTTAAATATATGAGTACATATGTGAATACACAGTTTAAACTAGGTTATAAAATTTATATATATGTTTAAGAGACAGAGTCTCACTTTATCGCTCTTGGTATTGCTCTTGACATCATAGCTCACAGCAACATCCAAATCCTGGGCTTACGTGATTTTTTGCCTCAGCCTCCTGAGTAGCTGGGACTACAGGTACCTGCCACCACGCCCGGCTTTTTTTGTTGTTGTTGCAGTTCTGTCGGGGACCAGATTCGAACCTGCCACACCCTCAGTAGATGGGGCGGGGCACCCTTCCGACTTAGCCACAGCCACTGCCCAAAATTATATGCTTTTAAAAACATTTAACTTTGAAGGTTTCCTTTTAGAAGTCATTTTGATGTGTAACAGAGTAGTGCAAATAAATTACAGGCCTGTGAGGCAAGCACATAATATACACTTAGGAAAATGAGAAAACATTACTCTTGACATAGCATGGATTCACAATATTAACTTGATGCTTGAGGGCAGATATGTTTATGAAACTTGAAATACATAGTTCATTGTTATAAACCCATAACACAAGCTCATAAAGCAATCATGAAGCCGTGCATCAGGTTGAATCACCAATGAGAAAACCACACAAGGAAAACAATTCTTTTTATTATGCTTGCTCTGTGTGTGTTTTAATTGTAACAAACTTAACAAGGGATTTTATTTATTTCCTCCTAATTTCTAGAGTATGTGGTGAAAATTCCAAAAGGGAAAAAAATTACATTAAATGGGTTTTTTTTCCTACAACTTCTCTTTGAATAATGGAACAAAGTTCTGCTATTACTATACTATGCTATTCAGGTACAGTTCATTAATACAAAAAGAATGAACAAAAGTTTAGATTCAGTCTAAAAGGTAAAAAAAAAAAAGTTGGAAAGTACTCATCAATTATGGAGTGAGAGACAATCTGAAAGAATGAGTCAGACCTTAATTTTCTTTTCTTTTTTTTTGAGACAGAGCCTCAAGCTGTTGCCTTGGGTAGAGTGCCGTAGCGTCACAGCTCACAGCAACCTCCAACTTCTGAGTTCAAGTGAGTCTCCTGCCTCCACCTCCCAGGTAGCTGGGATTACAGGTGCCCGTCACACCTGGCTATTTTTTTTGGTTGCAGCCATCATTGTTGTTTGGTGGGCCCGGGCTGGATTTGAACCTGTCAGCTCAGGTGTATGTGGCTGGCACCTTAGCCATTTGAGCCATTGGCGCTGAGCCAGACTTTAATTTTTAATCCAATTTTATATTTATATAAAGGGTGTAATCAGATACAGCTTATGAAGTCATCTTTATTAAAAATCATTTTAACCAAATAATATATTCTTCTGTGTTCCATAACAAAATCATATTTCCTAAAGTTGCTTCAGAATATTACGGCAGAGGGGGATTTCCCTGGATTACCCGACATTGTTTTCCAGCCCAACACTATCTGGCTGAGCTTTGCGGCAAGTTACTGATCCTTGATACCTGTTTCATCATCCTTAAAACCGGGAATAACAGAACTTAGCTCAAAAGATTGTTATGAGGGTTAAATGAATTAATACCCATAAAGAACTCATCAAATAGTTGTGTTCAATAAATATTGTCATTCTAGGCTCGGCGCCTGTGGCTCAAGTGGCTAAGGCGCCAGCCACATACACCTAAGGTGGTGGGTTTGAATCCAGCCCAGGCCCACCAAACAACAATGATGGCTGCAACCAAAAAATAGCCAGGCGTTGTGGCGGGCGCCTGTGGTCCCAGCTACTTGGGAGGCTGAGGCAGGAGCCTCGCTTGAGCCCAGGAATTGGAGGTTGCTGTGAGTTGTGATGCCACAGCACTCTACCCAGGGGGGACAGCTTGAGGCTCTGTCTCAAAAAATAAAAAAAAACTTCATCATCTTCTTTTCTGTTTTTTTAAGAGACTCACTTTATCACCCTTGGTAGAGTGCCATGGCAACAGAGCTCTCAGCAACCTCCAGCTCTTGGGCTTAGGCAATTCTCTTGCCTCAGCCTCTCGAGTAGGTGCCCGCCACAATGTCCGGCTATTAAATTCTTCATCTTCTATCAAATGATCATCTTAGAAGTTCTTTACTACAGCCTTCAAACGTTCCCTGTCCTGATATGATTCTATTTAGTTATGTAACTATCAAACCTGACCTAAGTACTGTTTTACCTTCTGTCATCGTGAGTGTTTCACAGACTGCCAGGCAAAGAGGAGGCACAGAGGAGTGTGTGCAGAATGGGACCAGCTGAGGCTCTTTTGAGAAGGCATGGCTGCCCCCGTTCTCCCTCTGCCCTGTTTCCCTTCCTTCCCTTTCCTGCCACAGCTGGTGGTTCCCAGAACACTCCCCAGTAAATCTCCTACATACCAGTCTCCATCACAGAGTTTGCGTCCTAGGGAACAAAACCTGAGACAGGAGTCATAAAATCTCAACATTTTATTGAATTCAAGTGACAGTTCAGATTTCCCATTTTTACTTAGCTTAAGGTACAAGACAAGAAATACAGTTATAGCTGGGCAAATATTACCAATTTTCGTTTCCAACCTAGAATGCTTTAATACTCTGTTAACAGCTCCCTGGTCCTATTATTACTTTTGCATTCAAGATAAAGAGTTCAAATCATTAGGGTGGCAAACAAATGCCCTCTTGTGCCTCCATCTCCATCTGCCTTTCAGATGGTCCCCAACTCTTGCTGGGTCTTCCAGCAATGCAAATTCTACATATAGTTTTACACACGTACCAAGCATACTCATGCTTTACACATGAGAAGTCCTTTGCCCAAATCATCCTCTTTTCTGACCCTTTCCTTGCACAGGCCTGCCCAACTCTCATTCAGCCTGAGCATTTACTATGCTATTCTTTCCAGCTTCCTTCAGCTAATCTGTGAGTTCTACAAGGACGGGGTTTATTTTATTCATTTTTGCATCTTCATATGGCATTGAGTGCATCACAAGAGCTCACTGGCAAGCTACCACCTTAGTCCAGGCCTTTATCACCACCACACGATAACGCCAAACTAGTCTCTCCGGTCCTTTCCTTCTCCTTTACAATCCATTCTCCAATAGCACCAGCTCGAGTGAGCTTTTTAAGGGATATCAAAGCATATAATTCTTATGCTTGAAAACATTCAACTGTTTCCTTACGGCATTCACAGTAGAATCCAAGTTCCTAAAAAGTCCTACACGGAGTTCTCCATATCTCCCACCTCTTTTTCTATTGCCAGCCTCCCAGCTCAATACACTGGTTTCCTTCTGCTCCTTCAACAATCCTAAACACTCTCCTATTTGCACTATATAATATATATCACAGTGCCTTTGCACTATTCATGCTCCCCTCCCTCCCCATCACTCTCTTCTTTATAATTTAGATCTTGCTGTCTAAGACACCTGCTCAGGGTACCTGGCCAAAGAGGCCTTTCCCCCATGCCTGCCTTTCATATTACAACCTTATTGTCCTAAAAGCACTTATGAGGGTCTTGTTTATTTTTGAGCATATTGATTGTCTCCTTGATCTCTCTCTAGAGTGTAAGCTTCATGAGAGCTTTAGACTGTTGTTTTGGCAGCACCTGGAAGGGTCTTAATAAATATCTGTCAAATGAATTAAGTTTCATGGTTAAGTTTTGTCAGTAGACTAAAGAACAGACTAGGATTTGTACTATAAAATTTGGATTCAGTCGAAAGGCCACAGTCAAGAATCCAGAAGGACACAGTGGCTGTGAGGCCGCAGGTTCCCCGCCCCTGGAATAGAGTTATCCCAGTGCTCTGTAACTGTGGACTCACCGCATTCCAGCTACAAAGCAAAAACAGTGAGAACCTGGGCTTCCAAGGGTTGCTGGTTGCCAATCTATTGTTATAAAAAAATAGCAAGTTACTTATTTTCTCTGTCTTATTTTCCATATCTATTTTAAAAATGGACTGATCTTCCAAAAAGTTCTGATAAGACACTTTGTATGTCAGTAGACCGTATGTGCATAAGATGATGTCTGGGTGGGGGCAAAAACCTGTGGTTAAGGGAACAGTGATTTACAGTGTCAACTCTGGAGTCAGAGTGCCTGGGTTCCAACTCCAGCCTTGCCACTTTAAAGTTGTGAGACCTCAGGCAAATCACCTAACCACTTTGTGTATTAGTTACCTCTTATAAGATTCCCCACCTTATCAGGTAACTGAGAGGATCAGATGACATAGATTATCTATGTAACACATTCAGTGTAGTGCCTAACCAATAGTAAACACTAAAAACTATGCAGACAAAATCTCCTTATTGATATCCTGTTGATAAAACAGTGAAAATAGGCTCAGCGGCTAGAGCGCCAGCCACACACATTGGTGCTGGAGGGTTCAAACCCGGCTGGGGCCTACTAAACAACAACAACAACAACAAATAGTTGGGTGTTGCGGCAGGCGCCTGTAGTCCCAGTTACCAGGGAGGCTTAGGCAAGAGAATTGCTTAAGCCCAAGAGTTTGAGGTTGCTGTGAGCTATGATTTCAAAGCACTCTACAGAGGGTGACATAGTGAGACTCTGCCTCAAAAAATAATAATAATAATAATAATAATAGCTGGGCATTGTGCCTGTAGTCCCAGCTATCTGGGAGGCTGAGGCAAGAGAATTGCTTGAGCCCAAGAGTTTGAGGTTGCTGTGAGCTGTGACACTACAGGACTCTACTGAGGGTGACAAAGTGGCACTCTGTCTCAAAAGAAAAAAAAAAGACATAGTCTTGCTCAAGCTGGTCTCATGCGCCTAAGCTCAAGTGATCCTCCCCACTCAGCCTTCCAGAGAGCTAGGATGAACAAGTGTGAGCCACCATGCATGATCAAAATTTATTCTTTTCTTTTTTTAAGAGGTAGAGTCTCATTTTGTGTCACCCTTGGTAGAGTGTTGTAGCATCACAGCTCACAGCAACCTCATGGCATCCACTGAGGGCGACAAAGTGAGACTCTGTCTCAAAGAAAAAAAAAGTGAAAATATCTATGATAAACGTCTTTCCAACCATCTGAAAAGCAGAAGTGGTTAAATGATATTTCTTTCCCTGCTTTATTTCTTCTTTTTTGTGTCCCTCCTGTCCATGAAACTACTAAACCAAGTAATACACTGAATGTATAATCTCATGCTCAGCATGGCTTCTGGCTCATCTTTACAGCTTTCCAATGTGATTAGCAGGTTTCCTACTATAATAGAAGTGAAGAGCAGCACTTCTCCATGACCAACAACAGCAAATTACAAGAAATTCTGTGTATTCTGGTTGCAAATTAACATTAAAAATTTTTTATTTGTAAAAAAGTATATTTATATTAGGAATTTTTCTTATTGTCATTCAAAGCTTTAAATTTTCTATAATTATACTGAAAACAGAGAGGAAAGCAGACATTACAAGCTTAGGGATAATGCCTGAGACGTAACTACCAACTTTCTGAAAGAGTGGAAAATTGTACAGTAAGCTTGGCACTTAACTAAAGATAATACCACAACTGCCGTCTGACCAACATCTCTGTGACAAAACGAAATTTTATAGGTTTGGTTAATTCTGACTCACAAGTACCCCCTCAAACACAGTTTCTGTGGGAGTAAAATGATGAAAATAATTCTACTAATTCCAAATATTCAAGGGTAACATGCATGATAATGCTTCAATACACAACCACTGAACTTTGCTACAGTAGTCAAAAAATTAAAAAACTGCTAATTAGTTCTAAAACCCTGTTATATGTTGTAACTTATACTTCTCCAGAAAAGCCTGATTATGAGTTGACAATCTAATTGTTTAGTAACAGTTTCTGACTAAACTTCAGAGAAAGAGAGATTATCCACATTCATAATTGTACACTACAGCTGAAGCAGGTATCTCTGGAGAGCATCCCTACGTATGCCTTTTGTTAGGAGGTATCAGATTTGCAGTATCTGAGAGGCCTGTGTAGTATATGAAGAGACTTCCCTAGACTTTATTTAAAATTGTATTAATCAATAATTTAATAACCAGAAAAGTGTGCCATTGTTAGACTAAAATGAAAACAGTTTAAAATAAAAAAAGATTCCTTGTAATTTACTTTTTTCATTCACATCAATGTATCATAGTAGTACCTGATATTCTAACATTACTTGCTATGGAGGAAAACTGGGTTTTCAATAGATCCGTAATTAGATCTGACAAAACTGCCAAATGACAAGAACCTTCCTTTTATCAAGTAAGCACTGAATTCAAGGTCAGCATTACAGAGTGACGATCCATATGCTCTTCATGTAAAATAAATCATATTACGTAAAATGGACCCAAACTCACACTGATCTGAAGCACTATGCTGTCTTCTGCCACACCCCCAAACTCAGAAACACGTCAGTTAAGAAAGGATTTTCTTGATATTTCTACTGATAATTAAACAGCAAAGAACTGTAACATTTTTGTCGTTAAAAACTACACTTAACATTTCTTACATTATACCGTAACTACAAGATAATACAGCTGACGGTGAACTTACCTCTGTAATAAAAGAGGCAAAGGTCGGAAAGCACAAACCAGCGTTTCTTCCACAGCTTCATGCCGGTACTGTCCTGCATTTATTAATATGAGTATATTTCAAGAGATTTTCATTTTGAGCAATAAAAACTCACTGATGGCACATTTATTTAAAGTGAACTGTTAAAACAGAGTATGTATGACATGTGCGTAACATCACCTATAAAAAGCCAATCATAATTTTGGAGGCAGTTTACTAGGGACTTGGGTGATAGCAAGATATTACCAAGTAGCCTGGCCTCTGAAAGCAATACTGTCACGTAAAGGGAACACAGTGAAGCAGCGTGATTTGGATTCCTACGTGCAAGCAATCTGAATGCTCACGTCTACGAGGATGAGAACAACGTACACAGGCTGCAACGTGTGCGATCTGGCCAGCCAGGGTTAATAAACTGTTAATCTTCAACAGGATGAAAAATATGTGAACCGAAATTATTCCGAGGGTGATATGATTTAAAAAACCTGTGCATCAGGAAACTTTATATTTCCTAAATGATTTTTCTTCCTACATGTACAGTTTACGTGTTATTCATCCTGTAGGAGAGTGTCTTTCTGGCTGCTATATTGAAGTAATTTAGTTCATTAAAATATCAGGTTCAAACAAAATAAGAATTAAAAAAAAATTTACTTTCCTATATGTAGGCAACGAAGCAAAGTTGCAAGAGGAAATTAAGCAGATAAACCCCCTCCCCCCCAAAAAAGAAGAAGAGAAGTGCCATATTCTCTATTAGGCTCAATATTGCCCTGAACTATGTGAACATTTGAAAGACTAGTTTAAAAAAAAAAACGGAGAAATTCTTCTATTATAAACTAAATGTCCAAAAACCTTTTAGCTTGGATAAGTTCCAGTGACTGTTAAAATATTGTAAGCTGTCTTTGAATAAAAATCATGAGTTTTAATGAAAAAAATTATTAGGTCATCTAAAAGAAATTAGCAGTATTTAACAGAACAGATTGATACCATCAATGAACTAATATTTAACTTGCGTTGTATCATTTCCAAATATGCAGACTCAGAGAGACAGAATAAAGACAAAGGCGTCCCCTCCGTTATCTGGTGGTCACTTATCTAAAACCCAGCAGCAAATCAGAAAGTAAACTATAACGTCTAAGAAATCAAAATGATGTAAAAGTCCAAGGATGTAATGTGCATGCGTCCTTAGTAATTCTACAACTAACGAAGAGGTTCCAAAAAAGTTTAATTATCAAGTTTCCCAGACAATGCAGTAATATAACCCCCAACTTAATCAGGGTGTCTGAGAGTGGGCCCTGTACAAGCCAACAAGTAAAGAGAACACAAAACAAAAACTGCAGAGGAAGGGAGAGCAGTCAGTCAGTATGGAAGCAAGATCTGAAAAAAATTCAGAAAAACCTCCAATTATTACCTGATTTCTCTATAAGTAAAAGTGGGGAAGTATACAATTTATATTTCTCTATGGATTTCTATATGAACAGAAAACCGAAACATATCCGTAATGGATTTAACATTTAGAAAGTTTTTCTGCAGGGGTGTTTAGCATGTTATTTAGCTACCATTTTCATACATCATGCATTTATTTATCAATGAAGAAACACCTATGACACACACAACACTCTCCAGTCTATGTCACGTCTATTCCCTCCTCTGTCTTCACTGTTTCTATGACTTTCTTCAGGGAAAATACGTGATCAAAGCTTGTATGACTGCTCCACACTGTGTATTTCATGTAATTATTTTAGGTACATTGAGTTCAAAAGGTTCCTTCTAATTCTGTCCTTTGTTTCACATCAAATAGGAAAAAAAAAAAAATACCTGTTTATAAAGCCAACCTCGTCTGACCACAGGCGCGTTAGGATTCCTTTTAATTGAATTTGACCTCTTTCCAAAATTATGAACTTTTTTTGAAGCCCGTGATGTCTAAATAGAAAAAAAGCATGATAGAAATGTGACGTTAATGCCTAGAGATTTGAGCTTATTTTCATCTTCATCATTTTAATCTCTTCAGATTTCCCCAAGACTTGCAGGATTTAAATCTTTTCAGATAAATTATTACAATTCCACTTTCGCTGGATTAGTTGTTTCGAGTGTAAGAATTCTGCATAAAGAATTTTCCCCTCAGGATATCACAAGTTTTACAATCTCTCCTGTAAAATCTGAATATGTAGTTTTTAGAAAGACACAGTATGTAGCAGTACTTCGTCTGAATGTTGTATAAAAAGAACAGACCTTGAGTTAAAATCATCAACAAATCTTTAAGAACAAACCAAAAAACAGAATTTCGCTTTACATCTGCATTCAGTAGGCTTGGCTCAATTAGAGAAAGTTAACAGCTTTCAGTCAGAGGAGAAATCCTTAGATATTAAACATAAACACATCACACTGAATCAAAACAACACTTGAAGGGTATCTGCTTAACGTCATGTGGCGGTTTCTTTTTTATGGACAACCCTGAACTTAAGTGATACCAGACAGATGGTGTTTACCGTATTCTTCAAAGTACACATAAGGATATACAACCTTTTAAAATACTGTTTAGTATAAAGATTTATTTTGGCAGGAATGGCAGAGGTAACTAGAAATCATAAAAACAATGAAGCTGACTTTTAATTTCTCTATGAAAGGTAAATAACATCAAATTACCTCTTTTGAACTTAGCTGGAAACTTAGGAAATCTAGCATACTTCATTTGAATTTTGTTTTATAAAGTTTTTATTAGGACATAATTTTTTTTCCACCAGTTTAAATTCGTCCCCTCCCCCCTTTTTTGGAGCCAGAGTTTCACTTTTGCCCCAGGCTAGAGTGTCCTGGCATAAGCCTAGCTCACAGCAACCTCCTGCTCTTGGGCTCAAGCAATCCTCAGCCATCTGAGTAGTTAGGACGACAGGCACATGCCACAACGCCTGGCTAATTTTTCTATCTCTAGCAGACACAGCAGTCTGGTTCTTGCTCAGGCTGGTCTCAAACTCTTGAGCTCAAGGGGTCCTCCCACCTCAGCCTCCCAAGTAGCTGGGACCACAGGCGCCCGCCACAAAGCCTGGCCATTTTTTGCTTGCAGCCATCATTGTTGTTTTTGGCGGGCCCGGGCTGGATTAGAACCCGCCACCTTAGGTGTATGTGGCTGGTGCCTTAGCCACTTGAGCCACAGGCATGGAGCCTTCATTTCCTTTTTACGTGTATTAATGGTAAAGCCCATGTTACCATTAAATGGTTTGGAAATCAAGAACTGTTTCAAGTAAAATAATGTTAGCATCAGTATTTCCAGGTGACTGTTTATAATCAAGTAGTAATATCAATAAATTCTAAGGCCCAGTTCCTTTGGAGTGGAGATTCCCAATTCATTTAAAGTGGGACCAAGGCCAGGTACAGTGACTCATACCAATAGTCCTGGCACTGTGAGAAGCCAAAGCAGGTATACTGCTTGAGTTTAGGAGTCTGAGACCAGCTTGAGCAAGAGCAAGACCCCGTCTGCTAAAACTAGTCAGGCGTGGTGGTGCACACCTGTAGTCCTAGCTACTGAGGTGGCTGAGGTAAGAGGATCTCTTGAGTCCAAAAGTTTGAGGTTGCTGTGAGCCATGATGACATTAGAGCACTCTACCCAGGGTGATGGAGAGAGACTATGCCTCCAAAAGAAAAAAAAAATTGGTCCAAATTCCCGGATGACAATGAGGTAGATTTCCTTATAAAGTCCTGCTTTTATCCTTAACAATCTCTAGGATGACAACTGCACTAGCGAGTCATTTAATTGTCCGCATGCTTGCAAAGTAGTGTCAATGATTTTGGGTTCTGGAACCAGATCACAGCTAACAAGCATGTTCATCTCTTTATGTAATTCTTAGGCATCTCTATGGCTTGTTAAAGTATGTCACCCAGCAAGCATCCAACTCTGCCATGGCAGTAGCAGCTAACTGGGTAGTGGCAGCACTGGGGTGCAGGCCCGAGGGCCGCCCTGGTGGCTGCGGGTACCACGCAGAGGCAGAGAGTGGTACCGTGCAAGTCGGTGATGATAAGGAGCAGGATCAGGAATTAATAGAATTTTAAGATCCAATGTGAACATTTTTCCTAAAGCTGATTTCCTGCATAAATTTTAATCTCCTTTCAAAGGGATAAGGTGTAAACACAGCATACAATTCCAATGGTACCAAAAGGATCCATAAGGACCAGTTTATTTTCACCCCTGGGCTCCAGCACCCAGCCAGTCCCACTCACACAGTACTGCTCAGTGTATTATGTCTATCCATCTAAATAAATAACTGTTGTCATAGGTAGATGAGTACATATATGAGACACGGGTCATTATGAAAGTTTCAAGATACTGAAAAATCAAGAAATGTAAAGTCCATGCAGACAGAAACAAATGAAGCCTTCCTCGCACCACTGATACGCTGAGCAAACTGACACATGCCCGGGCGGATCAGAAAGGACGCTGCCGTCTCTGCTGCCGGGAAGTGAATAGTGAACACTGCAGCACAACACAGCCTGCTTTGGTAGTGACCACGCATCCACTCTTCTGTTCCACCATTTCCTGGACCTCACTGTATGAACAGAGTACCTAAATGCCTACTTATATACCTATACCCCTGTCAATGTGCTGCGGTACAGAACTTTCTGAACTTTGCAAATCTGATTAAGTGAAAAATGGTGTCTTTTCCTGGTTTTAACTAGTATTTTTCATGCTATAGCGGAGGCTAAGCATCTTTTTCATATATTTAAGAGTAAATTCCATTTTCTTTTCTAGAAACTAACTTTGCATAATTTGCCCATTTTAAACTAAGAAGCCCCTCCTTTTATTTAAACTCATGTTTACCAAGAGTCGGAACCTTTTCTTATTGATTCCCAGCACTTCTTCAATTATAAAGGGACTCTTCTTTAATTGATCTATGAATTGCAGATATTTTGCATGGATAATTACATATGGTTGAATTTCTCATTTTTAAACATTATTACTTCGGGTTTTAGTTCTTATTTAGGAATTCCATCTGTAGAAATTTTTTTAAATCTCCCACTGTTTTCCATAGTGTTTTTATAGTTTTGTTTCTTATATTTCAATAACGATCCATCTGAAAAATTTTTGGTGTAAAGTTAGAGATATAGGACAACTTTCTATCCAGACAAAGACCTAGTGGCCCTCAATCCATTTATCAATTTCCCTACATGTTAATTAAAACATACTAATTCTCATTCTCAGTTATCCTGTTCATCTATGTTATTTAGTAAGGATTAGAAAGTAATATTATTTGAAAATTTACATTTACTTGTAATATCCTTTGAGTTTAGAGTACTGTTATAATTACCTATCATCCATTTCTTTATAATAAACATAGTTTATTATTGTAATTGTATTAGTGTGGAACAATGTCTCCTCAATCTAAGCATTCTTAGCCAGGAAATGTGATTTGTAGGTATTATATTAATCTTCACCCTTAAAACTTAAAAATGCTCACTCTCTCACAAAAACATCTTATATACTGTATTTGTTCAAAATCTAAACGTTGCATATAAGAAAATGTAAGTCATTAAGTTATAATCTTACTATATTATTATTTCAAGATATTGCTTTATATCAATTTCTCCAATTTAACTAAATTCACGTAATAAAAATGTAATGATTCCTGTGTAATTCTAATGGAATTACACTAATTCTAAGTCCATTACGAGTAACAGTATTACACACTGACTACTAATTAATAATTAACAGGAAGCAAAACAACTTACTCTGCCTACAGGGCTCATTGGATGCACTGCGTAATCTGATGTCATACTGTAGTTAGAAGCTTCATTGATCATACTTATGGGTCGTTCCTTCTTTTCTTCAGATGTCATGGTTGCAACGGTCCTGAAAACACAAAACGCTAGAGCTTACCATGTGAACCACTTTATAGTAACACTTCCCCAGTTACTGAAGTTAACAATCTGAGTGTCTCACTTTTTCACTGTAGTACAATCCTGGTTACTCTAGGGGCAGAGCTTAATATTTATAACTACTTTAAATGAAACATTTCTAACCTTAAAATAAGTTAATATCATGTTCATTTTAATAGGCATTATTACAGATATTCTACTTGGTCACCCAACTGGAAAATTAAAAATGAACTGTAAGATTAAATATTCTAATACAATAATAATAGCAATAATTATTTGCAAACAGCTTTATAGTGCATAAAACATTTTTACACATAAATAATTTCATGCTTATGAAAATTCTGTGAAATGGTAATTACCACTACCCTGATTGAAGGATAAGAAAACTGAGCTCAAATTAGTTCAACAATTCAACCAAGTTTACAGTTTTATCTCTAAACTTGTATCTTGGATTCTTGAGCTTGGTACCGGAGTTTGAATTACTGTGAAAATACCTTCGGAAATTACACTCCTCGGGAAGAAAAGGCAGGGTTTCCATACTAAATACCTAATAAACAGCTGGCATTCTGTTATTATACTTGACTGTCAATGTCCAGATAAGAAAATTGTTAAATTATACTGAATTTAATGTGGATAATAGTAATTTTACTGTCAGTCCCATTTTGAATACAGACATTCCATGAAACTCTTTACTTACTGTTCATTCACTACAAAAATACAATTGTCCTGCGATGGCTGTCCTGTGACTGGATGTTTGCAGGTTACTTTCCTTTCATTATGGCTGAAATAAGAATAAAAGAGAAAATGAATATATAGGTACTTAAACATTTATTTAACATTCAAGTTAGTGAAAAAGGAAATGAAATTCAACCCCCCATGTTTTGAGATTCCTAAATACACCTTTTCTACTATATATCACGAGTGTGTATGTTGTGTAAATGCTACTTACAGTTTTACTCCTCAGTCTGACCTCAGTCCCTCCTTCTCACTATTTATAAACTATCTATTGATTTGCCTCATGATAACTGTACTTTATATCTCCTAGGTAGGTCATGAAAAATAAGTATGAACTTCTGTCTTCTGGTCCAACTGGGCACATTACAGAGACCTAATGCCAAATTCATATACCGGGCGAGGGGGTCTAACAGTACTACACGGGCACCAGCACATGAAAAGCAGAAGGCTCGAAAAAAGCAAAACTTACAGTGTTCGTTCCAAAATAATATTATATAAATGACATAATGGGAACGATTTTGTGATATTTGAGGAAGATACACTGTAGATAAATCTGAAGGAGCAACAATCTAAGGTAAATGAAATGTAGAAATAACAGAAACAATGAAAAATCTTTTGTTATGTATACTGGGAAAAAAGCTGCTTTGATTTAAAGGATGCCTTTTTAGAGAATGCCTGAGAAGTATCATTCTTTCTAAGTCAAGTAATAAGATTAGGTCTCCTATTACCTTCTTGAAAGGAGAAGAAAAAAATACTGCTCCTATTTATCTAAGTCAAAAATATTGGACACACTAAATAATATGCAATATGCACCGATATATCAAATAATACTCATTGTCATCTATAAACTAATTAAATTTTTTGTCAGATCATATACCATAAACCAACTTAGAAGAAAAGACTGTTGGCATGACCAGTTCTAGAAAATGTACGTTCATTACAGCGAAAATTTTTGCATTTTTGCACGTTATGTTGACTATTACTTTGTTACTCTTTTTTTTTTTTTTTTTTGTAGAGACAGAGTCTCACTTTATCACCCTCGGTAGAGTGCCACGGCGTCACACAGCTCACAGCAACCTCCAACTCCTGGGCTTAGGTGATTCTCTTGCCTTAGCCTCCTAAGTAGCTGGGACTACAGGCACCTGCCAGCACGCCCAGCTATTTTTTTGTTGCAGTTTGACTGGGGCCAGGTTTGAACCCGCCACCTTTGGTATATGGGGCCAGCACCCTACCCACTGAGCCACAGGCATTGCCCCTACTTTGTTACTCTTACATGACTATTACATGTGTATTGCGGGTAAGTCTACAACCACAAGCTGCAAACTTTTGGGTAAACTTCATGTACTTAAGTTTTTTCCAAGTACTAATTTTTACTTTTTAAAAATTGGTAACACAATACCCTGAAACTTTATCTATTAAATAAAATAGAAACCAAAAATTTTTAAAAAGTACAGACACAATTTAAAAAATTTAGATACTGAATATATCTATTAATATATAGATAATACAATATCTATTAACAGTAGAATTATTAATGGAATATAATGTTTCTGTTACTCCTTAAATTAACTGGTCTAAAAAGCTTAAAGGATTACCAAATTATCAGGTTTTTATGGTGGTTTTGTTTTTTTACAGATGTAATTCAATAGGTATTAAGAGTTATTGGGTTGGCTCGGTGCCTATGGCTCAAGTGGCTAAGACGCCAGCCACATACACCTAAGGTGGTGGGTTCGAATCCAGCCCGGGCCCGCCAAAACAACAATGATGGCTGCAACCAAAAAATAGCCAGGGGTTGTGCCAGGTGCCTGTGGTCCTAGCTACTTGGGAGGCTGAGGCAGGAGACTCACTTGAGCCTAGGAGTTGGAGGTTGCTGTGAACTATGATGCCATGGCACTCTACCCAGGGGGATAGCTTGAGGCTCTGTCTCAAAAAAAAAAAAGAATTATTGGGTTTAGATATCTTGGTGATTATTTGCACTACCTAAAAAGTATATAACTTGTTTTCTTACTTGCTAATAAAAAACAACACAGTGGGAACCTAGATCTCCTATGGGATATGAATCTATGTAATAAACAATAAACTGGTAACAGAATAACTAAGGATAGCACAGACTCTGGAGATACTGGAACACAATAAATATAACAAATGTATAAAGGTCTGGAAATTCTGGTGTTCTAACAGAGAATAAAAACTGAGGAAGGGAGGGTGGATAACCTGTAGCAGGGATCAGACGCCCTAATGATGAAGAATGGAGGGGAGCATACAGAAAGCTGGAGTTAGCTGAATGGGAGATGAAGCAGAAATACATAAATAACTCCCCATTTACCGCATCATTTCCCCATGCTGTGTCATCCTGCCTGAGAGGAATATAGTAGACTCTAACCTTAATGATCTGGAAGTTCTAAATTATACAACACGGCTGCTCAATGTTAGATGGCTAAGGAACAGTAGCGAAAGGTTCAGTAGCCTTCTGAACACTAAATAGATTTGAGTATTCATTGGACAAAGACCCAGGGCAAGGCATACATTTAAATTATAATCAATTTAATTCTTTTTTATTAAAGAAGACTGAACATTCTTTTCCTCAAAAGTGGATGCTGTTTCAATTAAATTGTTACTTTTAGTATTTGAGTGCTTTTAAGATCACATCTTGAAGTAAAATTAAATGAGAAATCTTAGGACTTTATCTTATTTAAAAGAACACCAACTAAAGCCAATGTAAACTAAATATATTTATGTTCCTCTTTTCTTTCTCAAATGTATCCAGTGTGGTGTTTTCTTTTAATATTAAATTGACATGAAATTCCACACAAAATCTGTAAGGACAGATACTCTAACACCAAAGTGTTTTGCCATTTTTTTTTTTTTTTTGGCTGGGGCTGGGTTTGAACTCACCACCTCCAGCATATGGGGCCAGCACCAGACTCCTTTGAGTCACAGGTGCTGCCCTGATTTGCCAATTTATAATGAAAGAAAGAAATAACCTTTTCTACTACACATGCCCAATTTTAACCTAAAGTAAACAAAGAAGTCCTTATTTATTTGTTCTAACTTACACAACACTTGAAAAAAAATTCCATAATCTCCTGTAAAACAACATACTTATAAAATAGAAAAATTAATGTATTATTCTCTAATCAAAATATCAAATCCTTAATGGTCAAAATGTGGCAATTTTCAACTACCTGATGGGACTGTCAACCTGGCCCAGTGCTCTTGTGTAAATATAATTTTATATTCTTTTCTGTGTGTTTTAAAATTTATTTTAAATTACAAACTCATTCCTTATTACCTGTTGGCATTTTTATATCAGTGCTGCATTTTAAAGGACTGTAACACTGAAGGGTAAACATATTTTCTAAATCATCCACAGAAACTGAAACTGAATTAAATAGAGAACCAATAAGCGAAAGTTATCTACATGGGTCATTAAAATATTTCAATAAAACCATCTCTGTTAATACTTAGAAAAATTTTAATAGATACAGCACTTGACACACTCTGGGAAGTGGCTGGCCCACTGTTGAGTCCTGACTGCTATCCATGGCACTAGGAGGGAACTTAAGGACCATGCAGGAGGGCAGGTCCATTATTTACCAATTATATGTTTTTATCCTATATGTGCCATCCTTTTCTGTAGATCACATTTTTTCCCAGGGATTTCAGGACCTTTGTTTTTGTTTATGTTTTTAAAGAATCTCAAAATTCAAACCAAGAAAATCATCAGTTCTGCTGTAATGATTCAAACATTAGGGAACAATCTGAGCATAACACAAATTCTGCGCTTGCTCATGCAAGATTTTTGTCTGTAAGAAATTCTAAGTGAATGCAGAAAACTATACCCAACAAATTCCAGCCACATAGGAATACACAAAACGTACATCTGCATGCACCTCAAATATCTTCTAGTTCAGTTCACTGCCTGTTTTATGAAACACACCCTTCCACATCTCATGATACAACTTTCCAGATAACCCTCCTTCCAACTCTTTAATATTTCACCAGCTGAAATGTTTTTTTATTTTTTTATTTTTTTAAATTTATTTTTTAAAAGAGACAGGGTCTAGTTCTGTCACCCAAGCTAGAGGGTAGTGGCACGATCATAGCTCAAATTCCTGGGCTCAAGGGATCCTCCTGCCTCGGACTCCCAAAGTGTGGGGATTACAGGCACGAGTCACTATACACAGTTAAGTGGAGTGCTTTTGTATTTTCTAACCCTTTAACAAGTGTAAAACGAAACACACATGTTGCAAAGCTTACTGTACTACCAAATTATAAATTCATATACCACTATTACTAAAAATGCATTTGAAACTTTAAAAGACACTCAAATAAGCGTCGTTTTAAAAATCCTCTTCAGAGATTTTATTCTCTTCATGAAAGAAAAGAGAAAATGGAAAACATATGGTTTTAATGTAAATGTGTATTTATTCTAGAGGACTCCTTATAAAAAGGGATAAAATTCAGGTCTTGGTATAGATATAAACATAGCTATGGTCACAAAATGAACTAATTCCACCTTGTCTCTGAATTCACTGTAGACTAGTAGGAAGTCTAAAGTTTTCTGAACACCATGCCAGGGGCTCACCTACTCTCACTTCAGACTTCCTCTATGATGTTTTCATGTGTAGGTCTAGACAAGTGGATCTCAACTGGGGGTGATTTTGCCTACCAAGGGACATTTAGCAACCTTTGCTAACATTTTTGAATAATCTAACTAAGGAAGCGTCCCTAATAACTAGAGGATATAGACCAGGATGCTGCCGAATGTTTTATCACACACAGGCAAGTCTAATGCACAGCAAAGTATCTGCCAACAATGTCCAAAGTGTCGAGAATGGGAAGTCCTGCCCCAGACTATCATAGCCCTTCAACAATGACCTCTACTGAACAAGAAACATTTATTATTTCTTTGTGCTTCTGTATTTTTTAGATGCAACAGAGATGGCAGAAAACAAGGGCAGTTGAGACAACGGGTTCTAAAATCAGACTACTTGGGCTGGGTGATCTTAGGCAATTCACTTCACCTCTCTGCGCCTCAATTTA